GATTTCTAGATGGGTCTAGTGGACAGTGGCCATGCTCCACCGTCCTCCTCCCCACACCATACTCTGGTCAGAGTCTCTGCCACCAGATACTCAACTCTCTAAGGAAGGAGAGACGCCTCCAACATGCACAAGAAAAGGGCCCAAACACACACTGCTGAATAATTCTCCTGAAGGACTTAGCAGCGTGGCCATGGAGGAACTGGTGGTTCTATCACATGAACTCAGGGTGCTGGGGCTGCAGTAGGTCTAATGGCCAATACCACATCCTATAACCCCCAGCTCAAACACTGGGTTTCTCCCTGGGCTGGAACCACTGGTCTTCTCTGTGCCACCAGCTGTGGTACTGGTATGGTCACCACATGACTCTCACACAACCACCCCGAAGTTGTTCTCTGGAAGATTGTCATGCACCACATGGTTGTCACACGACCACCTAAAGCAAAAGGTGGATGGGGAAGTGAGGACCTTTCCTAGAAAGCCTTCTGTGACCAAACACCACAAAACCAGAGGGGCACATGTGGTCACTGAGCCCACCCCATCTCCTTCCTCTCCTGAGCACTAAAAAGAGCAAGGAAGGGCACCCCTGCAGCTCAGACCTGGGCAGCCTCCCTGATGCAGCCGCTCCTGCTCCCACTCCTGCTGGCCTTCTTCCTGCCCTCCAGGGCAGAGACAGGTGAGTGACCACCCCAGCCTCAGAGCCCCAGGCCCATACCACAGACCTTCCACCCCTTCTGCACATCCTGGACCCTTCTATCTACCAGGGACATTCTGAACCCCAGGTCTAGTCCCTCTGAACGACCCTCTAAGTGCAAAGCTGAGTGAGCTCTCAGCAGGAATGCTGGGGCAGAGAAGTTTCTTAGGAAGAGCTAGCGAGTACTGTCCCCTCCCCTCCTCCTCACCTTTGTCATCTGGAAGTGCCTGGCAGAGGGTAGGAAACTGGAATATATAATTCTCCTAGAGACGGCAGAGCCAGCCTGGGTTCTCTGTCTGGGATGGGACAGATGCTTCCCTCACTGTCAGGGAGAAGCCCAGAGGTCAACTAACCCAGAATTGATGGAATCACTGTCCTCTGAACACCCTTTGTGCCTTGACTCATCTCAAGGCACTCAGTCCCTTTCTCCAGCTCGGCTTTCCTTCCCAGACCTTTGGCACCGCCCCTCTTTTCCAGGATGAGCCACTGTGGCACATTCCGACTCCTCTGCTTTCCAGAATCCCAGCAGCACTGCCCTGCAGCCCTCGTAGAGAGGCTGACTGGAGCTGGGCCTTCATGCAGCCAGTGAACATTCACTGGGCACCCACTGCATGTCCGGCCCTAGGAATAGGACACGGTGACATCTAGATCCCTGCACTTACATCCTGGTCACTGAAAAGCAGCCCTATCCTGGGTCTCACAGGACTCACAAAGGTCTTGGGAACTCATGTGAAACAAAGAAAATTCAGCAGAAGAATTATTAGGAACCTCTGGGATTTCACCATCCCTAAGAGGTGTGCTCACCTCCAACTATGTGTGGAAGAAAGATTTATGACTGAGGCCTGCTGTTCTCTCCTTTTCCAGCTGAGGAAGTTGAAGCCCCTTCCCCACCCCCTCCAACTCCAGGCCACCAAAGGCTCCTGGATGCCTGGCCCTTCTGCTGCCATTCAGCAGATGCCAGGTGGGGGGCTCAGTGGGTGTACACAAGCAGACAGACTTTTCCTTCAGGGGAGATCATCGGGGGACATGAGGCCGAACCCCACTCCCGCCCCTACATGGCCTATCTTCAGTTCTATCAAGGGAAACCGAAGTTCTGCGGAGGTTTCCTGATACGAAAAGACTTCGTGCTGACAGCCGCTCACTGTAGGGGAAGGTGAGGAGGAGATTTCCAGGCTCTTCTGGAAATACTCCACAGAGACCACTGTCTTCCTCCTAAGGAGCCTCCTGGGAACACATATGCCAGGAGGGCTTCTTAGAGAAAGAGGGCAGTAAGTCCCATGGGGAGAGGGGAAGGTTAAGGTCAGAGGCACTGCTGAAGTGAGGGAAGAGCAGAGTGGTCACACCTGCCATATTCAGAGCTGGGGGCATGCTTTGGCATAAGAACAGAAACTAAAGCAATTTCACGTGTTTTCCTGGGGAGAGAACTGA